GCCAAATTGCAGGCAGCCAGCAGGCAGCAGAAGTAGCCTGCAGTACTGCATTCTAACTACTGCGCCACCACGGCTCTTAGAGGATCATCTCTCTCTCTCTCTAGTTGTTTCTATTTGTCCTTAAGGGGAGAAAATTTGGTATGTTCCAGATCCCTTTTCTGTCGCCATACCTGTCCTTTTGGAACAGCATCACTTTTGAGATTGATATAGCCCTAATCTTGCTGACTTTTAGAGGGACCAGGCTGTTCTTATGGGCTGAGACGGCGTGAGAACCCACAGCTAGTTTATAGGGAATCTGTCTTCCCCACAAATCCTTTTGCAAGCCCTTCCCCCCCCCCATGTTGCTTAGTGAATGGGAGGCCTTAGATATCACTATTTCACTCACTAAATTAATAGCAGGTGTGGAAAATAAAACTACATCTTAATACACTAGGATGTGCATCTATATTGAGCACTGTGTTTTGTTTAAATGGACAAAAGCTGAGCAATGTGTGCTGTCATGTAAACTTGTTCACCAGTGTGCGTAGGAGTTGAATGCCATTTTAATTTTTTTACTTTTGAGTTGCACCTTAGCCTGGAGACAGAAAGCCTACCCAGTCTTTCTGACACCTAGACAATAAGGATATGCAGCAAGCCAAAGAGGTTCTGCAGAGCCGGCAGAGGTGTGCAAACTCTACACTTCTAGAGTTAAAGAGCCTTTTTCAAACTTACAGGAAAATAGGCATTTTGAGTTAAAGAGGTACTGACTGGGGCAGCAGGTCTGTTTTGAAACAGCTTTTCAGCTTTCGATCCAAAGCCATGCACATCTCTAGAAGGTAATTGTTTTGTTGCTTCTAAGAATCAGGAATTCATGTGGACCTTTTTATGTTAAAGTAGCTAAATTCCATAGCGGGATGCGGTGGCTCAGTGACTGAGATGCTGAGCTTGTCGATCGAAAGGGCAGTTCAGCAGTTCGAATCCTTAGTGCCGCAGGTGAGCTCCCGTTACTTGTCCCAGCTTCTGCCAACCTAGCAGTTCAAAAGCACGTAAAAAAATGCAAGTAGAAAAAATAGGGACCACCTTTGGTGGGAAGGTAACAGCATTCCATGCGCCTTTGGCGTTTAGTCATGCCGGCCACGTGACCACGGAGACACCTTTGGACAGCGCTGGCTCTTCGGCTTTGAAATAGAGATGAGCACCGTCCTCGAGTTGGGAACGACTAGCACATATGCATGAGGGGAATCTTTCCCTTTAGCCAAATTCCATGCCTGTGAGTTTAACAGTTCTTTTTGACTAGAACGTCAAGACCCACCAACCAACCTAGCCCCAGTGCAAAACACCTTTAAAAATGAGGAAAGTACTTTGTTTTGTATATCGAAGATGAATGTAAACCATGGTCCTTCCACCCCAAAATCTGCTCTGAATTACCTTAACGTTTCTTAACTGGAGTGCAAAGGTGAGAAATTGTTTGCCATTATTTTTTGTTAATTACCTGGGATTCAGAAATCCTTGCAGCACAGAGAGATAGTTTTACAGGTCCCATAACACTTACTTGGCCCAGACATCTTCAGATAGTCTATATATACCCGCCCACTCTTTTCTTTTTCCTGCCAGGTTGAGGGCAGAGGGTTTTTTTTTTCTTCCTGGAAATTCATTCCATGGTGCTTCATATTTTCCTATGTTTATCTTAGGAAAGTATATACTGTTTGCTTTCTTACAAAACATGATAAAACAATGAAAACAGGCAGTCTTCATTTTCAGCTTTGAGTTTCCCCACCCCTTCATTCTTTTATTAACTGACTACAGAAAACAAAGGAAAAAAAGACACAAAATGATAAAAGAAAAGAAAAGTAAAAAAAAAATCATCATCCGAAGCATATACTTAAATGCATATATAAAGTTGTTAATTACACATTTCAGTGAATGGAAACCATAATTCTAATGGTTAGTGGATAATCTACATTGATAAGTTATTGATACATAAATTGCTGGTGACGTCAATTCTGCAGACCACTGATTAATTGGAGCCACATGTTTGTCTTTCCAATGCTGAACATTAAATCATTTAGCTGTAAGTAAACTACAGAAAATCCACTTTCTTTGTCCAGATGTCAACTTCCATGCGATAGGAATAAACTTCCCAAAAATATGAATATCTGAAAATACTAAATCTTAAAAGTTGACTTAATGCATGTAATAATTTCTACCCTAAATGGAACCATTGTTGGATATCATAGAAACATGTATTTAAATAAAGCATTAGTTTCATTGCATTTCCAGCAACATAAGCATTTACTCAGGTTTTTTTCTATGGTATAAAAAGAGAACCAAGTTGATACCACGGTTAAAGCACCAAGCCAGAAACTAGTAGCGACCTTGGGCCAGCCACTTTCTCTCAGTCCTAGGAAACAGATAATGGCAAACCACTTTCAAAATCTTGCCAGAGACCAGTCCAGGCATGAGTTGACAAAGCCTCAAAGACATTAAAAAAATGTCATAATAATAAAGTCATTTCTGAAATACTATTTCTTGTTGAAAAATATGTAATCTAAAATATATTGAAATTATTTGGTTGTTTTAGTGTTTAAAAAATCAACTGTTGTGTGTTAGGATTACAGAGTGCTGTATAGCGCTGTGGAGCGGTGATTTAAACTTAAAGTTTAAAGTTTAGTTTAGTTTAGTTTAGTTTTATTGAATTTCTATACTGTCCTACTCCCGGAGGACTCAGGGCGGTGAACAGCCACGAAATAAAACACATACACATACATAAAGATTTAAAATCGAATAAAATGAATTAAATAAATTTGGCTGAATTAATACCCATAATTTAAAATACCCATATTTTAAAACACATTAAAATTTAAAATTTGCACTTAAAAGGGAGAAGATTTAGGCGAGGCCAGCTTGATGAAATAAAAGAGTCTTCAGCTCGCGGTGGAAGGTGCGCAGATCCGGGATCCTCTGTATCTCTGGGGGGAGCTCGTTCCAGATCGTCGGTGCCCCCACAGAGAAGGCTCTCCCCCTAGGGGCCGACAGCCGACATTGTTTGGCCGACGGCACCTGGAGGAGCCCCTCTCTGTGGGAGCGTACTGGTCGGTGGGAGGCTATTGATGGTAGTAGGCGATCCCGTAAATAACCAGGCCCTAAGCCATGGAGCGCTTTAAAGGTGGTAACCAGAAAGTGATTTAAACTTGAAAGTTTGTTGTGATACTAATGAAAATTTGCAGGTTCAAAGCAGACCGGAAGTATCATGGTGATAGTTTAGACTGGGAAGCAAAATAAAATATTAAAAATCCTAGGGGAAGGTAGTAGCAAATAGCTTCCCTACTTTTCCCAAGAAAGCAATATGGATATGTCTGTGAAATCAGCAGGAGCTGAAGTTAACTTAAAGCAGACTGCAGCTTTTTATCTGATAAGTAGGGAAAATTTTAGGCGTTATATTTATAGGGAGTAGGAAGATCTAACCCTTTGGCTGCATTCACAGACACAGGTTAACTCATAACATGATTTGCTTTTGTTTAATATGTTGATCATATCAAGCTGTTATCAATTATTCAATATTAAATCATGAGTTAACATGATAGAGAAATTAGATCTTTTCTCTGTTAGGCCCAAGAAAAAATGTCTCGTAGAAGCTTTTCTTTGAATTGTGTGAGGCACTCCCATTGGCCTTAATTCATTTTTACTTCACAGGGGACATAATAGTTTCAGAACATCTTTTTCTGTGGAAGAGGGATGGGCAGAGTTCACGCATCCCATCAAGCCATAATCTGTTTTCTTTGGGATTAATATTTTATGTGAATGTAGACGTTGCAGATTGTAAAGCAGTTGGGGTCATTTGCAATATGCTCAAACCATAGTGAGTGAGTAACAGCTTAGCATATGGTGTGAAATTAGCTAGAAAGTTAAATTTCTTCTTCCTTCTTGTCACCCACAGTGCCCAAATCTCTCCACATACTCCTACTTATTAAAAAGTGCAAATATAATCAGGACTCCTAAGAATGAGCAGTGAAGTGTAGCTAAGAAGAAATCAACATCTTGCGAGCTGGAGATTGTAACATGCAGTTCAACCCAATTGTCACCCAGTAGCTTCATCCTGGGCGATAGTCTGCCTACTTCTGGGTTTGTTTCGCCACCCCAATCAGCTTCTGAACTGGGTGGAGTGAGAAATGTTCTGTGTGACTCCTGGCCAGAGGGTTAGTGCGATGGGACATTGCCTGCACTGGTTACTTGTTACCCTCTAGTTTAACTCAGGTTGTTGATATTTAACAAAAGGGGAAGTAGTGCTCTGAGAATCCTGGGATGAAATACTATTAAAGCCCCTCCAAAGCTGGCACACCCTTGATGAATGGGGTGCTGTAACTCAATGTATTTAGCAGGGATTTGAAAGGTACTTGTGCTTTGTGTTTAGGAAATGGTATGGTTTGTGAACCATTTCCCTTGGGAGTTTTCCCAGTCCTCAACTTTCTTGGAATTTTTCTGGAGAGCAAAGACTTTCTGGTCAAAATAAGGTATCTTTTTAAACTTTACATTGATGTAGTTCTGAATAGGGTTTATTAAATTGTTTTGCCTTTTAAGGATCCTACTTTTTCTTGATGCATTTTGCTTTTAAACAGTTTTTTTTTTTAAAGTTGTACTTTTGGTTTTTTTTTTTCCCCCTTGTTTGATTCTGGTGCCTTGTGATTTATATTTGGCTCTAAATTATTTGCAGTGTTTCTGTGAGAAGTATGGTAATTGCTGGCTAATTCCATGATATAGTTGAGCTGGGAAATCTCAAGAGACCCATCATATCAGTCTTTATGATCAACTGATATTTCAGTTGTGCAAACTAATGCTATAAAGTCATTATTGTGCTTTTCAATTTAGAAAGTTAACCATCTAGAGAATTTTACTTCTATACTTCCCCTTCCCCTCCCAGTTATTTTGACTTTATTCCAGGCTTTTCCTCTTCGAATGTATAAGAACAGACTGCACGAGAATTGGTTTGGATAAACTGTCTCTCAATTCTATTTCCTTTCCAGGTCCCGTTCAACCCCACCGTCTCCTGGTCAAAAGCCTCTCTTCAGAACCCAGTCCTGAACATCGCTCACCAGAAGCCCCCCAACGACTCATCTCAGATCCAGGACCTGACCACAACGAAGAGGAAATTGCCAAACTCCGACCACTCAAACGTCCCCCAGGACCAAAACCACAAGGTATAAACGGGGCTTCCCCAACCGGTTCCCAGAAGTCTGTTGCCTTTGGCATGCTACCTTTGAATTATGGGAGCTGAGATCAAATGCATCCAAAACATATTGGGGTTGAGATGGTTTCCCTACTTCCTCCTCAAGCCCAAGATTAAGATGTGTCTTATGGAATTTGCCGTCAATGCTGCTGGAGAAGAAAGCTGGCTGTTGATGCCTTTCTAGTCACAGACTCTAGAGCCCAGAGTACAATCTACTACTCTGAGGCTGTAGGCCATCCCTCCTGCAAGGCTTTGCCCAGGCCTGCAGGATGTCCTAAGAGTTTCGGCTAAAGAGTAACCTTAACATGACCAAAGGGAAAATTAATTACAAGATAGAATAGGACAAATTTTCATAGTTGCATTGAACAAATTTATTTTAATTAAAATTACACATAAATTAATTTAGATCAAATTGAATGTTTACTCTGATTCCATCCCATTTCTTCCTCCTGGACTTTCTTTTTGGAATGCAATCCCTGGCATCCCAATTGGAGCCCTTGGCTTGAAAACAATTGGCATATCCTTCTAGAGGATTGGGCAGTTGTCAAATTAATACAATGCTTTTCCAACCATCATTGACATAAAAAGCTGCTTAGGCTAAAGTCTAACTTGGGGTACATGCTGGTCCTTTTCAATATAATGGAGTCTAGAGTCCAGGCTCTTTGCTCTGGAACAGGGGAGTTAGAAATTTCAGTGCTGGGGTGGGATGGGCAGCGTGGATCAGATGATAAAAATGCCAACTTACAGAAATAGTCCTTCTATTGGTTGCTTCTGTTAGTAAAATGTATTGAGTCTGTTTTAAAAGAACAATCTCACTTCCTTTTCCAGTTCCTCCCAAGCCAGCTTATCTGCAGAATAGCCAGCCCCCACGGTTTCCTGAATCGATCCCCCCACCTCCATCACGACCCCTCCCAGCCGACCCCCGCCTGGGCCGCAGCCCTCTGCCAAAAGATGGAGTGGGCTCCTCGTCTGCCGTCTCCTGCCTCATTGAGAAGTTTGAAAGGTACGAGCTTGACTAGCATGTGAGACCCTGTTTCTCCTCCTGTAGCTGAGTTGGAGGGTATACACACACACACACGCACACACCTAATTGTAGAGGAGGCATGATTTGTACTCTTGAAGATGTAAAATAGTACTGCTTGGCATCATTAATTAATGGGAGATTTCTATTGACTTGGGATATATTGAAATGATAACTAGCACAAAGGCCTTTGTTAAATGACAGAGAAAACAATAAGGATTAATTTTACTCATGATTGGTTAGATATAATACCCATGTTGAAGGCACTTGCGCTTTCATGCAGCCTTGGAGGTTTTACACGTGATACAATTCAGAAAAATATTTTAAACTTCTGTGCTCTTCCCAGTCTTGAATAGATTTGACATCCCTGTATTCAAATACTTTTCTCATGTGGCTTTCTATTTTTTTTTTTTATCCATCTACCAACTATTTTATGATGGTGGATTGTGTGAGCAGATTCCGCTGTCCTTGGCATCATGCAAAGAACCAGATTCATGCTGAGATAATTTGGGGTGTATGGGAGGTTGCAATAGCAGCTTGAAGGTAACACACACTGCATTCTAACACATTTGCAGTGTCCTGAGTTTATGTAAGAAAGATCTGGAGGATGATAGTCTTATTTAGGTTGGATTGTTATGGTGCCATACATATTAGGTTTTTGGCTGTTGTCTGTGTCAGAAGATTTTTTTAAAAGGTAGATGAATAGTTGGCCTAATCATGTGTGCAAATAAGTATTCTATTTTTAGACCAATGCTATTACTACAGGTAATCCTTGATTTACAACTATTCATTTAGTGACAATTCAAAGTTGTAAGGGCACTGAATAAAGTGACTTATGACCCTTTTTCACACTTACGACCGTTGCAGCATCCCCATGGTCAGATGATCAAAACTCAGCCGCTTGGCAAATGATTCATATTTATGACGGTTGCAGTGTCCTGGGGTCACGTGATCCCCTTCTGACGAGCAAAGTCAATGGGGCAAGCCAAATTCACTTAACAACCGTGTAACTTAACAACTGCAGTGATTCACTTAACAACTGTGGCAAGAAAGTTTGTAAAATGGGGCAAAACACACTTAAATTTTGAGTTCAACTATGGTCATAACTCAAGGACTACCTGTAGCGTTGGGCATGAACTTACTAGAAGATTCTACTTACTTTTCTAGGAGAGGTGGAACCCTAGCAAATCTTGCCTACTTAATCCAGCATCTGTTCTTCATTTCCTCCTCACTAACCTTGGTTTTCCTAATTGGGTTGCTGTGTTCCTTTTAGGGAACCTATAATCCTGACATCTGAACACACTCCATCGCCGTGTCCCAGCCCAGACCTCCAAGCCCTAGAGATAAATTCTATGGAACCCTCGCTAGATCGTCCAGCTTCATTGGAATCGGCAGAACTGTCTCACAAGCTCCTGGACCTCCTGGCCTTGGAAGGAGGGCAAGCGGCTGTCGGAAATGCTGTCTGCTTGCCGCCTCATGATGGTGGGAAACTGGCAAACCGGGACAGCGGCATCGACAGCATCAGTTCACCATCTAACAGTGAGGAGATTTGCTTTGGGCCTGAGGAAGGTACAGGGGAGAGTGCTGGACCTCTGGCACCTCCAACCATCATCAAGCGCAGCTCAACTCGTGATTCTGAGGGGGACAGTGACATGGATGATGGCAGTGGGGATGAGGCTGAGCTGCTCTCTGACCTTCCCCCTCCACAGACCGAGAAGCAGGATTCTGATGAGGTAAAGGGCTGGGATTCCTATCCCAGGTTTACTATGATAGCCTTTTCTCCATTGCTTCTCCCCGAGCCTGTATTTTTCTGTCAAGCTTAATATGATATTCTTTATTTTTGATTATGCTTTGGTATGAGGCGTTAGTAAAAAAATAATATAATGGAGATGGAAAGACACATGTTAAAGAAATAGCAAACCTCTGTTCCGTGTTGTAGGCATGACTAGTGAATGTTTTGATTTATGTCACTTCTTGATTATGTAGGCTGAGTTTTTAAGGGCAGACTCAGATGGCCCAAAATGTACCTAAAGGCACCAGTAGATGTCAGGCTCCAAAAACTAGGAAAGACACCTAACGATTCTTCCAAGCAGATTTTTGTTTTCTATGTTTTACAACTATATACACAATCTTGCCAAACTGAAGCAAACTACTACCTCTTTGAAACATATACTCTGGGAACTATTAGGGAGGGGATTTCTTCCCCCTCTTCGTATCACACAAACTATCTGAACGGAGTTGTCTCTTATTCCTCTGGAATATCCCCCCTCCCTCCTGGGAATCTGGCTCATTACCTTCCCTCACATCAGGTCCACAAAACGTCATCTGTTCCTCATCATGTTTCCTATCCCGTCTTTAATTCTTTCAAAAATATTCTCTTAATCAAAAACAAATTAAATGGCATGCTGAAAATTCCTCTAACATCTTTATGCGCAACAACGCTTCAGGCCTCATGTAAATCCCACAGGTATTCTTAGGAAACAGAAATGGAAAAGTGATGGATTGTTGCAGCTTCATCATTTTTTTAAGTCCCCCTTCCCCAAATAAAGGAAACTGTGGTAATAATGAACATTCTGGGAGTGGGGCATAGTGGTTAGAATGAATGGTGAAGTGCAACCTCACCAATTTGTCTTCTGATATATGAAGCCTTTCTAGGAATAGGCAAGTCCTCCCACAGCAGTCATTTTAGAAGTGTGCTTACAACCTGCTCTCACAATTCCCACAGCATCCCTGGCCCCAAGAGATTGCCTGCTATTGGTTTATATTCACTCACAGAATATAAAAGTGTGTATAATCCATTTTGGTGACAGTGAGAACTGAATAAAAGGATGAGTACAGCATATTTTTGTACAACCATTGTTCATTTGTAATCATTGGAATTCTGCTTGAATGCAAGGGGCAGACAAATAGCTGCTGCAGAGAAACAGACAAAATCCTGGGGTTGGTATTCATAGTACATACTGATATACGAAAAAAATAAAAAAGAATTTGGTTCATTCCCCACAGCCAAGTGGCTTTCAGTTTCAGTTGATCTTTTTTCTCTCTCTCAACAGATGACGGTTTCACAAAAAGTCTTCCGAATTGCCAATGAGCTTCTCCAAACAGAAAAGGCATACGTGTCTCGCCTGTACCTACTGGACCAGGTAATAAGAGTGATGTCTAGTAGCCAAAACTACTAGAGCATGTGCAGTTTTTAAATGGAAACTTGAGGCAAGCATAGCAACATTTCTGCAAGTCATGCCAGTTGAGGAAATTAGCAGGATGGTTAGAGACTGCCAGAACTGTGGGATGTACCTTTCTGTCTCCATCAGATAATAGATTCCATCTTATGCGCTGATAAGAAGGGTTATATAATAGATATTTAGAAAATAAAAGTGTGAGGTAGGGTTTGGGTAGTTCTCTGCCAATCATTGCTTATACAGAAAGTTGCCAAAAGAGACGATGGTAATAAGTATGCCCTGTTTCATAGGTCTTCTGTGCCCGTCTGATGGAGGAAGCACGCTGCCGAAACTCTTTCCCAGCTGATGTGGTAATGGGCATTTTTTCCAACATATGTTCCATCTACTGCTTCCACCAGCAGTTCCTGCTCCCAGAATTAGAGAAACGGATGGAAGAATGGTGAGGAAAATGGATTGGGCTAGCATGGGAATGGGTACAGCAGTACCGTTCTGATTTTCTTTGTATGTTTATATTGATTTCTTTTTCATAACATGCTCTTGAGGTAAAAATGTTACCTGCTTTGAAAGAATTCCAACAGTTTGCCAAGAGAGGTGTTGCATTATATTTGAAGAAAAAAAAAGGTGTGTCTGTAAGTAAGGGGTGTTTTCTTCAGTTATTGAGTGATCTTAGATTGCTAATATGAAATATCCTATATGATTCAATCACGCCTTCTATATGAGGACTGTTTGCCAGCTCCACACTTCTGTGAGCCTGCTGCATCAGCTGTTTCGAAGAACTCGGCCATTTATTTTTGGCTCAAGTGTGGTAGTAGATTTAAAGCCAATGTAAAACTCGTCTTTCTTCGAAATGAGGTAGCTCTGTGAGCAGTCTTGGCTTTCATAACAAACCTTGTTGGCATTACAAATTCAGTAGAAAAGGATAGTCTCTTGATCATCTTCAAACTACGGTACTTTTGAGTGGAAACTCTAGAAATGTGTAAGTTCCTGTATAGGTAAAAAAAGACTTCAGAGATCATTTAATCCAGTTTCTTGCTCAGTGCAGAGCCTGTAATACAAGACCCCTGAAATGACTATCTAGACCAGGGGTGTCAAACTGGAGGCCCGCAGGCTAGATGCCTCACATGCAGGCTACCCCCACCCCAGTGAAGGGGGGAAAACGTTGAGATACGTCACGTGATGTCAATATGATGCTGCGAGTTTGACACCCGTAATCTAGACTCAGAAGAAAAGAGTTTTCACCATTTCCCAAGACAAGTTGTCCCAGATATTTCAATTGGGATCCTTTGTTTCATTGTTGTATAGTGAGGCTTTCAAGTATTCTCTTGTCTCCTGCCCCTCAGCTGCCAGTTCAGCACTGCATTGTCTTTTTCTAAGGTATTAAATTGTTGAGCTTGATGCTTCCTGACTATCTTCTTTTTTAATGTTTCTGCTTCACTTCCTTTGACTTTTGTGACAATTCCTGCTCTGTCTAGGTAACTTCATCTTTTCAAACTTCGTATCTTTGAGCAATTTCCAAAATAACCTGCCAGCATATAATCCATGGTCAACCTTTTTGTATCGCAGGGAGGGGTTTTTAGACATATCTTTTAACTGATTATTTCTAAATCTTCACTTTTTGTTGGTTCTTAAATGTAATCTGTTGTGGATTCACAAGCTATATTTGCGGTGGAACTTTCTGCCTTCTTTCACTGTTTCTCAATTTCTTCTATTAATGTGGGCTGGCAGCAGCCACATGGGCTCCTGCTGGCCGGGACTATTGGTGCCACCGCAGCGAGATGAGACACTGGAAGACATCCCTGAAAATAAGACCTAATGCCTCTTTTGGAGAGAAAAAATATGACCATTATTTTTGGGGAAACATGTTAGATACCAGTAATGTTGTAGGTACTGCGGCAGTGTTGCAGCAGAGGAAATAAAAGCTGTTTTATAATATGCTTGTGCGAGGTTTGGAGCAGAGGCACCTGAGGCCAGAAAAGGATTTGTCCCCTCATTCATATAAATAACAGAATAACAGAAATAACAGAGTTGGCTATACCTGTCCAATTCTGCGATCACTTAGTCACGTCTTTCAGGAAACAGGATTGTAATTTTACCCCAAAATAAAAAGTAAACCAAACCAAAACTGTTTTCTGCTCCTAAAGAAATAAGTTGGGGTACCAGATTAGGTAATATACTAAAGAAACCATTTCTGGTTAGCTTTGCTTCTTGTTCTAGTTCAGGTGTATCAAACTCGATTTCATTGAGGGCCCCCTGAGGGTTGTGTTTGATCTCGGGGGGGCGAGTGGCCGTGACCAGCTCGATGTCCTGCAGTCCATGCACAGTCCTCCTGGGCTCTGTTTTTGGCTGCAATAGCCTCCTGCAGCCCTCTGCCAGTGAAAACAGAACCCGGGAGGGCCGTGTGTGGAGCTCCCCTCCTGAGCTCCATTTTTGCTGGCAGAGGTACAGCGGAATGGGTCCTTCATTGTTTCCAGGGCGGCCCCGCGGACCAGATCTATACACCCCATGGGCTGGATGCGGCCCTCGGGCCTTGAGTTTGACACTCCTGTTTTAGTGAGAACAAATGTTTTCCAAGTGTCTCCCTTTTTCTTAAATATTTCCCAGGGAGTCATAGTTCTCGGTAAATCTGCAAATCTAAACCTTAATTGAAATGGTTGTTTTCCCTTTTTGAAATAATTTGTTTAACTGTGGGACAGATCACAAATATTATAATAAAATAATTCCAGAAGGCTTTCATCTTTATTTTTGGAGGTCAGAAGGATTGAGAATTATGAATCTCCCTAATGTTAGTATTCTTAAATTCTAATGAATAATTATTTACTGTAATTTACCTTCCAGTTAAAATTTGTAGTAAAGTTTTCCCTTTGATGGGAAAGTACTGAACAAAGTCATTTGTAGAATTCTACACAATACACTAAGCCATGGTTTCACAAAGTGATTTAATTTGTTATACTGCACAATAAGAAACCAGCATATTTTAGCTAGCATTTTATGTGCAACGGAACCTGTGAATGAAGAATCACCCGTTAGCCTTGCTTCTGTGTTTCTTTTCTCTCTTATATCTCATTATTTTTATTTTTCCCAGGGACCAACACCCACGAATTGGGGATATCCTGCAAAAGCTGGCTCCCTTTCTCAAGATGTATGGCGAGTATGTGAAGAACTTTGACCGTGCCATGGAACTGGTAAACACCTGGATGGAGCGCTCAACACAGTTCAAGGGCATTATCCATGAAATACAGGTTGGTGACCTGTGTTTTCGTTTAAGCTATTTAGACTTTGTGGCAATAATGTGCTTCTCCTTCCTTCCCAACCCCACCCCCCCAAATAAATAGCATACTCCAGGGGTGAAATCTAAAATTTGTTACTACCGGTTCTGTGGGCGTGGCTTGGTGGGGCAGGTTAATGTGACTGGGTGGGCATGGCCAACTTTTTTTTTTTTACTTTTAAAAGCATTTTTTTTAAAAAAAATGCTTTTAGAAGCCTCTTGACGATAAGGCAAGTCAGCTGGGATCTCCAGAGGCTTTTAAAGGCATTTTTTTTTCTACAACCTCTTCGGCTGAAGAGGTTGCAGAAAAACATGCTTTTAGAAGCTTCTGACGATCAGGCAACTCAGCTGGGATTGCCAGAAGCTTTTATAGGCATTTTTTTTTCTACAGCCTCTTCGGCCAAAAGGATTGCAGAAAAAAATGCTTTGAAAAGCCTCTGACGATCCCAGCTGAGCCCCGTGATCATCACAGGCTTTTTTTTGTTTAACTTTTAAAAGCATTTTTTCGGCCGAAGAGGTTGTAGAAAAAATGCTTTTAAAAGTAAAAAAAACAGCCTCTGATGATCGCGCGGCTCAGCTGTGCATGGGGGGGGGCAGGGATTTTTGCTACCAGTTCTCCGAACCACCCGCCGCCATAGCTACCGGATCGGGTGATCCGGTCTGAACCGGGAGCATTTCACCCCTGGCATAATCTAATAGCTGAAACAATCGAGGGAATGGACACAATCCTGTTCCCATTTTAACATGGAACCAGCATGTCTCCTCCTGAATATTGAAAGAATATTATATGCCGAGGAGTAACTTTGCTTGACTTATGTGCCCCGAAAGAAAAGAAGCAAAACTTGGTGGATGGGTGGATGATGATTATTTCACTATATCCATCTTTCTGCGAGTATTGTACAGCATAAATAAGGAGGTGCATTGGGAAGCCATTGCTTAGCAATGAGGATTCCATGGAACAATCCAGGTTTCACTTTGTGGCCCAAGATCCAAACAAAATCTGTGCATTTGGAAGGATTTATTGGGAAAATGCAAATGCTCATGGATCTCCTGGGATTTTTGACTCACCCTTGCGAATTCTGCCTTTAAGTTCCCTGGATCTTAGTTCTCTGCAAGGGCAGGCATTTTGCCCTTGGAGAGCTGCCAGGCAGACAGTTCTCTTGAGATCCCTCTCTGTTGCAGAGGGAAGAAATATGTGGGAACCTGACCCTGCAGCATCATATGCTGGAACCGGTCCAGAGAATCCCTCGCTACGAGCTGCTTCTGAAGGACTATCTCCTGAAACTGCCCCAGGACTCGCCTGACTGCAAGGATGCCCAAAGTGAGTGCAGCTCTCAAGGGACGATAGTAAGGAGAAAGACAGGGCAGTGGGTGAGACAGTATCCTAGTCCACAGCAAGCATGGGAGGGGAAATAGAATGTGACATAATGCATTATTGACTCTGGGTCATTAAGGAGATACTTCTGCCCCGCCATAGCTATTTGAATCTCTGAGTCAGTAGCACCTGGAAAATTGAAAGAAGTGGCAGAACAAGGCAAGGCAGGTTCAGAATTCATTATACTCACAGTGGTCTTTCATAATGTTGGCTAGCCATAATGGCAGCTCTCCACTCTGCAGTGTGGTGAGCATCAGGCTGCTTTCATAAAAGGCGCTCCTTCTTTCTCCCCTTCCAATGAAATTAAAGACATATCAAGAAACTTTACAACGTTTCCAAATCTCAGTTTTGGGCTTTTTTTTTTATTAATGGGGATTCCTGGGGCTGGAAAAGATTACGGAAACCTGTCATATGCATGGGATGCTTCTGGTTCAGCACCTGGGATTTAGGGACCGCTTCCTAGGAGCTGGAGTGGCTTGGCTTCTAGCTACTAACCTAGCCATCCATCCTAGCAGTCAGCACACTTGAAAGGAATCTGTCAGGCCCCAGTATGCATGACTTTTGTTTGAAAATTGTTATAAACTGGGGTATGGCCTGTGTTTAATTCTCTGTGGAGCAAGGCCAATAAAATAATATAGATTCTTTTTCTTTCTTTTTTTTACTACTCCTCTTACATAGAATCCCTGGAACTTATTGCAACTGCTGCAGAACACTCCAATGCAGCCATCCGCAAAATGGTAAGAGTGGGTAGAATGATAGTTACTGAAGACCAGCTGTCTGGATTTTCTTTTCCTTAGAAGTAGGAGTTTATGGGAATGGATTCAAACTGATTCAGCTCCTTGTGTACTTACATGTATCTTTTTCTATTAGTACCCCAGAAAGTGGAATGCAGTTCAGAATCATATCCACATTTTTAAACCACGTTATTCTTCCCCAAACTATGTGTCCATGTTAGTGTCTGTTATTCTTATAGCTTGAAAGTTTACCATCTCAATTTCAAGACTAATAACACAACCAGAACTGAATATAAATATTCAGCTTGCTACCAAATATCCCTTACCTTTTGCTCCCAATGGACAATTTTTAAATTGTATGATCCTTCAGCACAGGAACTGCTTTTTTTGCACATAGGGCCTGAATGTGAAAGGTTTTAGGGTCTTTTTGTTTAAATTTTGATTTTTATTGTTTTAAAATGTATTTATCCTACTTAATTGTTTGAATCAGGATGGGTAATCTGGCCTTCAATTAGACAGGCAGAAAGTATGAAAAGTTTCTTCCGTACAAGTAAAATAAAACTTGACAGCTGCAGGCAGTGTTGAATTACAGAATTCTGGTCTCCTTGGTCAAGATACTTATTATTTTTAGAAGACTGTGAGGAATGAGATAACGATGAACAAAAGTTACTGGGAGTGAACCCAGGTTTGTTTAATTAAAAAAAAAAACTCCTTATAATTCAGACCTTGACAAAACTGGTACATCAAGTAAGGTGGATACTATGTCAATTATAATTAATAAAAAAATTCATTTGAAAAGCACAATGTGTTTTCTATGGGTTTTTTTTCCCTATGGGTTTTTTTTCCCCTATGGGTTTTTACCTATTGGGAGATGTCTTTTACTTGTCAGTTGACTGACTGAGCTTGTCAGTTGACAGATCAGGTTCAAGACCTGAGCATCATGCAAATGGAGTGTGAACTCCTGTTTCTTGTCCCAGCTCCTGCCCACCTTGCAGTTTGAAAGCATGTAAATGCGAGCAGATTAAAAGGTACCACTTTGATGGGAAGCTAATAGCATTTGGTACGGCTTTGGCATATAGCCATACTGGCCACATCACCAGGGAAATTGTCTTCAGATAACGCTGATTACCCTGGCCAAGAAAAAGAGATGAGTACCATGCTATAGATTGGAACACGACTGACAGGGAAACCTTTACCTATCTTTACCTCAACCTGTTGCCTATTACTCTCAGATCACCTATTCATCGTTATAACCAAGTTCTGTTTTGGATTTGGATTTCCTACCCAAGTTGCATAGTGTATCACAGGTGGGAAACCGTTGGTCCTCCAGGTGATCCAGAATTATAACTCTCAATGGACCACAACTGATCATTACTGATGTAAGGCTGGAAGGGAATTATAGTTCAACAATATCTGAAACTGTTGTTCATACTACATTATTTCTGTCAACACAATAGAGTTGTGTAGCAACTATGAACACCTGTTTTACTATTAACATTTCTTCTAGGAAAGAATGCACTCACTGTTGAAAGTGTACGAGCTGCTTGGAGGTGAGGAAGACATAGTCAATCCCACCAACGAACTCATCAAGGAAGGGCATATCCTGAAGCTTTCCGCTAAGAATGGTACCACCCAGGACCGCTACCTGATTTTGGTGAGAGACAGGATGGGAATCTCCACCCACTCTAATTTTGGCTTACGTTTTTAGCTATCAAACTTGGAGAGTTTGTCAGGAAAGATCTCTGCTTCTTACTGTTATTTCTTTTCTTTTTTTTTCGGTCCAGTTCAATGACCGATTGCTTTACTGTGTGCCAAAACTACGTCTCATAGGCCAGAAATTTGGAGTCCGTGCTCGCATAGATGTGGAAGGAATGGAGGTAATGAAAGAAGAAGCTGTGGGAGAATTAGATAAATATTCATAACAAGTAAACTGTTTGATTCACATCCACCCTTTTGAAATAAGATTGGGGAAATATTGATTAGCACATGCAGTGCTGAGAGAGACGGAGAGGTGGATTCACTGCTACTTTTTAGTTCTACAAGGTAGAATGGAATGGAAAAGAAATTCAGCCTCTTAAAAAAAGTGCTGACTTATTAGACAGTAATAAAACACAAAATAATATAAAATGGGTCAGAATAACGGGTACGTTTTTATTTTATTTTCCAAGTGAAATAATGAAACTATATTCTAAATTAGTATTCGAAGAAAATATGAATGGTTTTTAAAACATTATGGTTTAGTCAGTGCAGCCAGTGATTAAAGTGTTGGACTGAAACTGAACCTCATGGAGGGCTCCATGGAGAACCTGGTCAGTCTCTATCCTTCAAGTTGCTTTTGTGAGACTAAAGGTAACTTATGTACAGTAGTCCTCAATTTAACAACAGTTCATTTAGTGACCATTCAAAGTTACAGCAGCACTGAAAAAGGTGACTTATGACCGTTTTTCAACACTTACAACCGTTGCAGCATCCCCGTGATCATGTGATCAAAATTCAGACGCTTGGCAACGGACTCATATTTATGACAGTTGTAATGTCCAAGGGTCATTTAATCATCTTTTGCAACCTTCTGACAACAAAGTCAATGGGAAACCCAGATTCACGTGTTAGCAATTTAACAATTTCAGTCATTAACTTAATAACTGTGGCAAGAAAAGTCGTGAAATCAGGCAAAATTCACTAAACCACTGTCTCTCTTAGCCACAGAAATTTTGAGCTCAATTGTGGTCGTAAGTTGAGGACTACCTGTACATTGTCCCAAGTTCCTTAGAGGAAAGAGAGGCTAGAATGGCAAATAAATGAATTGAGAGATAAAACATTTTAAGTAAATAAATGGATTGTGATTGGGGGAGCCATTTTTCCAAAGCAGGGCCCCATAGTTAGCTGTCATGCGTGCAAATCTTCATTTGGGAATGGGAGTTGCCCTTGGCAAAGCAGCTGAAGGAAGGTCCACTTGCCTGTGTGAACCAGCCTTGTGCCTCTTTTCTTCTACATAGTTAAAAGAGACCAGCAGCCTCAATGTGCCTCGGACCTTCCTTGTATCAGGGAAGCAGCGATCCCTAGAGCTTCAGGCCAGGTATGGGTGGAAGACTTAGTCTCTCCTCTTTTCTTTTCTCGAAGTAAGCAAATTGCCTTCTATTGAGCAACTCATCTTTGTGACTCAGTAATTCTCCTTTTCTGCTTGTTTTCCTTTGGATCCCATTAGTAGGGATTCCGTTAGCCTCACATCTTCTTGCTCTTCCTTCACCATCAAATCCCAAATTTATTTATTTTATTTATTTTATTAAATTTCTATACCGCCCTTCTCCCGAAGGACTCAGGGCAGTGAACAGCCAGAGGATAAAACACAGAAATACAAAAATTTAAAATAGATTAAAAACGAATTAAATAATTTGGCTGAATTTAAAATACCCCATAATTTAAACAGATTAAAATTTGTATTTAAAATTTATATTTAAAAGGGGAGAAGATTTAGGCCAGGCCAGCTTGATGAAATAAAAAAGTTTTAAGCGTGCGACGGAAGGTGCGCAGATCCGGGATCCTCCATATCTCCAGGGGGAGCTCGTTCCAGATCGTAGGTGCCCCCACAGAGAAGGCTCTCCCCCTGGGGGCCGCCAGTCGACATTGTTTGGCCGACGGCACCCGGAGGATCCCCTCTCTATGGGAGCGTACTGGCCGGTGGGAGGCTATTGGTGGTAGCAGGCGGTCCCGTAGATAACCAGGTAATCAGACTAATTGAGCAATCCTCCCATTAACACAGGAGAAAATGCACACGCACACATATCCCACCACTGCATTCTTTTTTTTCTTTTTTCTTTTTTCTTTTTTTTTGAAATGAGCCATGTTATACTGCAGCTATCCCAATAAAATGCCTTGGGGAAAACAATGATCTTTCTCTTTTAGGACTGAAGAAGAGAAGCGAGACTGGATCCAGGTAAATCAGTATTGCTGCTCAAGCTATATATTGCTGTGTTTGTTATTTATTAAACAAATTTGTATAGCTGCCCAATTTACACATAGTGACTTATTTGTACGGGCCAGTAAGAAAACAAAGGAAGAATTCAGATATTGTTACAACTATATCATCTTTCTTGCAAAGTTCAAATCCATGTAATTTTTTTATTTTAATTTAGAAGAAGGGGAGGGAGAGAGATTTCTCTTAATTAGCACATGACTGGGTATTATTCTAGATATATGTTTCTCCATTTCAACAATTTTAACATGTGTGGACTTAAATTCTCAGAATTTCCCAGCTAACATGCTGGCTCGGAAATTCTGGGAGTTGAAGTCCACACACCTTAAAGTTGCTGAAGTTGAGAAACACAGATCTAGATTATATTAGAGTGGATGAGTTTCTTAGGTCCAGCAGATACTGGGAGGGATCTTTGATCAAAATGGGGAGTGGGATAATCCTGTCTCAAATTAATTTTTTGAAGGTCTGTGTTGGCAATGTATAGACCAGGGGTCACCAACCTTTTGGACCTCAAGGACCACTAAATTCATAATTTTAAATCCCGCGGACCACTAATATGATCTGTCTAATGACTGGCTGGGTGGGCATGACTAGGTATTCATGTGACTGGGTGGGCGTGGCCAACTTGATGTCACTCATGTCTAGGGGCACCTCTCCAGCCTCTACTTGCCCCTCCCCTCCCAGCCACTCCTTGCCTGCCTACCTGGGCTCCTTAGGGGCCCAATATGAAGCAGTTGTTGGAGCTAAGCAGCCACCACAAGAAAGAGTTGGCAAAATAGCTGGCTCAGTTCAAATTGGATCTGACCGAGAAGGAGGCTCAGCAGAAGCACCTCACTGAGGACTAGGAGCATAGGCTTTCCAAGCAGAGAAAAGACCTGCGGGAGTGCAAGGCCAGGTACCGGCACCTGGAGGCTCAGCGGGCTGAGATGGTCAGCCAGGTCCAGGCCATGATTCAGTCCCACTGGAACGAGGTCCTCTGGCTCTTCACCACCAGCAGTGCTTCCCTCCAGCCTTCACCCAAAGCCCTGCACCAGGAGGCTGAAGCAGACCCCAAGTCGGAATTTCTGCCCCCCCTCCAACCTGCACAAAAAGACCCCGAAGGGGGAGACTGTCTGCAGCAACCCAAACGTTCATTGCACGTATCTGTCCCAGGGGCCGTAGTTTGAGGACCCCTGATTTAGTGCAATATAAAAAATGCAATTAATTTTTCTGCAGACCACCAAAATTTTCTCGTGGACCACCAATGGTCCATGGACCACTGGTTGGTGACCGCTGGTATAGACTACTTTTCAAGCAATGCACATCCAGAGCATTGGGCATGTATCCATGAAGATCATGTGTGTTATCATGCACCTTAGTATGTGACAAACCTTACACTTGCATCTGTGTCTGTTCCCTTTCTTACAAAATTAGAGACAAGAGAGATATTGTTGCTTTCACCATAAACCATGATGTGCCAGACAGACTCTGGGTAGAGCACCGTGTACATAGGAACTCATTAAATCTGGTTTTACCCTTGCTTCACTGAAAAGGATTGGCCTTGTTTCTTTTCCCAGGTCTGCTCTTTCTTCCTGCGTCCATTTTGTAATCAAAGATATATCATTAAATCTATAGGCGATACAGGCTACAATTCAGAAACATGAACAGACGCTGGAAATGTTCAAGCAGCTTGCCAGCGAAGATGAAACGCCACCTAATTCACCAGTGAGTCAGAGTTTTGTGTGTGTCAGGGAGAGCTAGAGTGAAAGAGAGAATGGGCATGCGCCTGCATCTCTGGTGAGACAAGCAAAAATTTACTGATGCAATGTGTCGATGTGTATGTCAGTGTGCCTCAGTTGAGAGATGTTTGTAGTATTGGCTGTAGCCAGTACGTAAATTAATGAAAAGGCAAAAAACTGCAGCAGCTCATTAGAATTATGTGAAAATAAAAATGGTATTGTGCAATCTGTGTACTTTTCTGCTGATCAGCATGATTTCTCATAATTTTGCATATTTAGTTATAACTTTTCTTGGTTATTCCTCTGGGGGTGTTTTCCAACCTTGGCAATTTTCAGGTGTGTGAAATTCCAATTCGGTTTTCTTCAATGGCCAGGCTGGCTTTGGAATTCTGGAACTTCAAGTCTAAACATTGGAAATTCCCAAGATTGGGAAACAGTGCTCTAGAATTCAGTTCCTCAATCTCAGCAATTTTTAAGATGAATGGACTTCAACTCCCAGAATTCTCCAGTCAGTGCCTGGGGAGTGCTGGGCATTGGAGTCTACATATCTTAAAATTGCTGAGCCTGAGAAACACTGCTCTAGAGTATGCAATTTTACCAAGTATTTTTTCTATAAATTCTTTCAGTTATATTTGTGCTGTTGCTAGACGCTGCAAGGTTGTGTTTTTTTAAATGAGGTTTCCTGAGAGTTTGGATTAGTCTCTGAACCACAAATATTTGCCTGTGTTACATCTCCTCCCCTTTTATAACTTTAAATATAATATTAGCCATTCGTCTGAGCACTGAAATATGCATAGACTTTCTTAATGTGAATAGGCTTGTTTTAATCCTATCCCTCCCTCCTCTGCCCCTGCCCCATATTGCAGGGTTGTGAGTTGGGCCGAAGGGCACCCACGCCAATCCGGGAAAAAGAGGTGACTTTGTGTATGCAGTGCAAAGAGCCCTTCAACGCTCTCACCAAACGGAGACATCATTGCCGGGCCTGTGGCCATGTGAGTGATTTTCCCTTCATATCTCTCCTTGCCCTAATCCCCTCTTCCCAGCTTCCTTGGAGGAGAGAGGCAAGATACAGCTATCAGCTTTGCAATTAAAGTTGTGTTAATAAGAGCTACTTCGGTCTCGTCTCCCATGATGCTTGTTTTTTTATTGCTGACCATGAAACTTTTCTGTCTGATTTGTCTGTTCTGGGATGTGAGCATCAAGAGGTGTGCACTTCAGCCATAGTACAGGAGACCTACATCCAGCCACTATCGCGTAACTCAAGCTTATTATACAGGATTATTATTCTGGGGTAAACTTGAAGAGAGTGTTGGTACAAATGTTACCTTGAGTTCTTCGGCAACCTAGTAAATTTGGAGTATTCTGAGCTGTTTACAACTTATCCAATTTTGTGATAACATGAAGCATTGCCTCGCTCTTTACCTCATTCCCCGGAGCTTGCAAGCCCTCCCACTTCGACATGTGTTCACCTGCTTAAACCAAGTGAGCAGCAAAGGGGGAGAAAGAAATTCTGTGTCTTTTGTTTTCTTCCCAGAGAGGACCCTCCAACATTCATCTATTCATTCATTCATCTATTCATTCATTCATCTAATCATTCATTCATTTATCTGCCATGATTCCTATAGACTCCTAGGATACACACAACAACAAAAAATACAATAAAAACAACCTATCGAACACCTAAACTAAAGTACTGTAGACATTCCGAACTATTGACTTGATGTACTGCTGAATGTGTGTCTCATCTGTTTCAATCAGTGTAGCGGAACAAGGGTGGACACAACTCTCTTCTATATGGAGCAATTCCCTGGTACATTACCGCCCATGGGATTAGACACTGTTCAGTGGTCTTGGGGGAAGGGCTACTGGTCCTGTGAAATGGACATGTTCAAAAGCGTCAAATATTCGGCATAGATGTGTTGAATTTATATTTACCGACAAAGAAAGTCGGTAAATATAAATTCAACACAAAAAATAGTTTGTCACGAAAGTGACTGCCTGCAAAGACTCCTGGATTGGGGCTGAAAGGCAAAAGAGGCAGCAGTCTGCTCCATCCCATATTTGGGTAGACCAGGTTGCCCTGATAAAAAAACACATCTTCAGCATAGAACTATAAAAGCACAAGCAGAGATCTCCAAGGACTACTCATTGCAAGGAAATTAAGTAGAAAATGTTCAGTACAATAATCGGTATAGATAAAAAAAAACAATTTTAAATTCTAAAAGATTAACCACAGTTTAAAACTGTCAATAAAAAAGTATAATATATTTGCCTCCAGTTGATCTTCATTGTCATTTAGGATATGGCAACATTATACATTATATGAATTTTCTTATCTGACAGACGGAAGACAGTGAGAATGTTTTCACTTTGTCCTTCAAATGGTGTCAGTAAAGGAGAAATAGGGATTAGCTGATTGCCCCAATAATTAGGGCAAAGAGCAGATGGTCTCAGTAACACCTTCGCCACAAGACCAAGTTGTTTTAGATTGGGAGACTATGGTAAATATCTCATTAAAATCTGTAGAGGGAAACCTATCTGGGAGACTGATCCAACTCCTGTCCTGGCGCATGGTGACAAGAGAAGAAGCAGCTGGAAATTCAGCCTTCCGCTTCAAGTAGCCATCTTAATCATTGTCTGGAGAGACCTGCTCCCCAGCATTGTTCCAACATTGGAGAACAGACTGAAATCCTTTTCTTGTCAGCCTGCCTGAGTATGGGAGAGAAGAGCAGTTGAAGGGTCCAGGGTGGAAGAGCTCTAAAACTTCCTCTAGATGATCTTGGGTGCCAACCACTACTGATGCAAGTTGTCTCCTATAGGTTGTCTGCGGAAAATGCTCAGAGTTCCGGGCCCGCTTGGTGTATGACAACAACCGGCCAAACCGTGTCTGCACTGACTGTTACACCACGCTTCATGGCTCCCCTACCAGTCCTGTGCCCCACCCCAACACACCCCAACGCCGAAAATCCATTCTGGAGGTAAGAGTAGTACTGTCTGTCTTTACTGTATTTGTGCTATGATTGTTTATCTTCCTGTTTTTATTAAGATGAGACTTCCTTCTAATCCTCATGTTACAAATTTTATTTCAAACAGGATTCTTACTCTTCAGCAAACATTCGCTCTCCTTTTATGCTTGTACAACAAAAATAGTTTTGTAACTGAGTAGAATTCTAAGGAAAGCTTGTGCATGGAAGATAAAATACGTACAAAGTCTTTTCTTCGGATCAGCTATCTGCTGCATTTCTTTGATAGTTTTCATTCTTTAAATCTTATTCTTGCAAGTCTTTATGCAAATTTTCTTTGGTCTTATGTTCCTTGCCACATTTTTCCACCAAGAATACAATGTCTGTAGGATCCTCATGAAGCTCCAATAACTTTTATTGGCAAAGATATACAAAGAATTCAGAAGATCCGAAAGTGCATGTTTTTTTCCACATAATTCTAACTAGTGGTGAAATCCAAATTTTTTTACTACCAGTTCTGTGGGCGTGGCTTGGTGGCGTGGTGTGGCTTGGTGGGCGTGGCAGGGGAAGGGTACTGCAAAATCTCCATTCCCACCCCACTCCAGGGGAAGGATACTGCAAAATCCCCATTCCCTTCCCATTCCTGGGGGAAGGATATTGCAAAATCTCCATTCCCACCCCACTCTGGGGCCAGCCAGAGATGATATTTGCCGGTTCTCCGAACTACTCAAAATTTCCGCTACCTGTCAGAACCTTCTGGATTTCATTCCTGATTCTAACATCATAAGACATTGCACCCTGAAATGGAGAGCAAACATGTTTGCTTATTAGTGGATGAAAAGGGAAGATGTGTATTGGTATCAGGCTTGTGAAAATCCAGAAAAGCCAAACAGTATGTTATTAGTATGTTATTTTCCTGATTAAATTTCTGGATGTTGGCCAAGCACTGATGCCAGCTACTGAATAATAATTTTGAAGGTTTTTTTGTTTCCTCTGCCTGAGATGTTTTTGAAAGATTCTACAGAGTAACCTTGAACTTTGTTTTGTGTAGAGAGTTCCAGCAGGAGCAATGGCAACAGAGTAGAGAGAACTTGGGGGAATCTTAGTGTCTCTCTCTGAAACTCCTTCCCTTCCCCATCCGTCATTTTCTCTTCCATTTGCTCGCTTCTCATTAGCTGGTCCTATTTCTTACTCTTTCCAATTAGAACCTTATGCTTGGACATAATGTTATTTTAGACATATGTCTTGCTTTTGACTGACCAATTGGAATAGATATAAGCCATTTCTATATTTACAAAATGCTACTTGATTACTTTAAGAAGTTTTGAAAATGCTAGTCTGTCTGTCTATCTCTATGTATGGCAGATTAGGTTGGTATCTATAAGATCTGTGGTTGAATGAAATCTGACCCTTGGTTATCTACCATCCGTGCCAAGTGATGAGGAACCTGTGACTTCCTGGCATTGATGAACTACAACCCCAAGCAGCTCTACAGGCATGGTCAATACTATGTGAGCTGTAACTCAGCAGCGGTAGCAGATGAGGAAGAAAAATCAGATTCCTTATGTGTACTTTAATTCAGGGGTGGGGAACTACAGTATGATCATAGTTCCCCACCCCTGCTCTAATTGCTAGATTTCATGCATTTGTGGTGTAGCACATGAAGTAGAGATCTTGGTGGATAATACCTACTTTTCTACTCTTCCTGCAGAAACAAGCCTCAGTGGCGGCAGAGAATAGTGTAATCTGCAGTTTCTTGCACTACATGGAGAAAGGAGGGAAGGCTTGGCACAAAGGCTGGTTTGTCATCCCTGAAAATGAACCTCTGGTGTTATACATCTATGGAGCTCCACAGGTATGGAGGTGCCTCTCTGCCCCTCTGCCATCTATTTTTGGTTCCTTACTTTAACCTAACCTGGAAGACAGCAACATATCTCCTTTTGTGTAAGAATGCCAACCCCATTCCAGGGTTTAGATTAACAATCCTACTCACACATTTTAAGGTAGGTAAACACTCAAGGGATGTGGTGGCTCAGCGGCTAAGACGCTGAGCTTGTCGATCGAAAGGTCGGCAGTTCAGCAGTTCGAATCCTTAGTGCCGCAGGTGAGCTCCCGTTACTTGTCCCAGCTTCTGCCCACCTAGCAGTTCAAAAGCACGTAAAAAATGCAAGTAGAAAAATAGGGACCACCTTTGGTGGGAAGGTAACAGCGATCCGTGCCCCTTTGGCGTTTAGTCATGCCGGCCACATGACCATGGAGACGTCTTTGGACAGCGGTGGCTCTTCGGCTTTGAAATGGAGATGAGCACCGCCCCCTAGAGTCAGCAACGATTAGCACGTATGTGCGAGGGGAACCTTTACCTTTAGGCAACACTCAAGGGTTGCACTTTCTTCCTTTTTAATAGTCACAAAGTGCACAGCACAGCAAAGACACAGTGATGTCATCTTTGGGGAGGGGGGTGAGTTCAGTTGGGGATTCGTGGTAAGCACCGAAAAGTCCTAGTGCACCTATTTTGCTAATAGCTTATTTGAGTGCTGCCTCTTGAAATTATGGGGCTGAAAGTCTGTTGAATGATAATGGGGCTCTGAGGCTTTAGAAAAAAGGGCTGGAGGGCTGCATTCAGGCCACTAAGTCCCTTCTCCTGACCTCAAGGATGTCTCATGTCACCTTCTCCCCAAAGATAAAAATCAGCTATCAAAAACCATTGGGCTCAACTGATACTGAATGCTCAGTTAGTTTTGAATCCCTTTGGGAAAAGAGAAGTCTAAATCAGAAGGGCAATTCAACTCGGCTCAGCAAGTCAGTTTAGGGTTGTTTATAACCTCCTGCTCTGTCATCCTGCAGGATGTAAAAGCCCTGCGCTCAATGCCTCTGATTGGGTTCGAAGTAAGCCTTCCTGAGCCCAGCGAACGGGTGGACCGACGCCATGCCTTCCGGATCAGCCAGAGCCATCTGTGTTGGTATTTCAGCCCTGAGACTGAGGAGCTGCGGCAGCGATGGATGGAAGTGTTGAGCAGGGCAGGCCGCGGAGAAGAAGCAAAGACACCACCTTCAATTTTGGAGGCCGACGAGGATACAGAAGCAGAGAGAACCTAAGGCATGGGCCTGAGGAACTGGGAAAAATGGACTCTGCCCACATGGGGACCTTGCTCACTATTCTTTGACCAGTATACTTGAAACTATTTTTCCTTCTTCCTCTTTCTCTCTAGCACTTTCTCGGTTCTTTTTGTCAGCATCTGCCATAGCCATCTGACCTGTCCTCAGCCATGATGTTCTCTGCCATACCCCAGCCATAGGGATAAAGCACATGCACTGAGATTTGCTCCAGGCCAGTTCTTCCCACACCATAGCATGCAGTAACCCACACTCCGCCCCCTCCAACTTAGTTCCTTTCATGTTCTCTTCTATGCATGGAAAAACTGATTTGAGAAAGTGATTTCTTCTTCTAAGAATGTGCTTCCCCCTTCTTTTACCTCTTGGACCAAGATCTGCTCTTCCAATTCCCCCACTGCTTATTTAGCACTTACTGAACTCCAGTGATTTAGGAAGACAAAAAATGGGGGAGTCTCCTTTCTCAAGTATCTGTTTGCCTCTTTGTTTGATAACTTATTCCTCTAATTCCCCATCTCGGAGATTATGTAGGGTGTTTCAGTCTGTTGCAGATTTGATAGGTAGGCAATTTTCCATTATAACTTGAAGCCATTCTACCAGTCTTGATTTTTGTGCCAAATGGGAGTAAATCTGGGTTGGGTTAGATTGAGAGAAGAAAAAAAAAAAGATGGTCTTTACCTTTGTACAGCTTCTGTTTTGAGGATAAATTCTTCCTCATCACAAGAACTCATGAGTTGGCTACATCCCCTTATTAATTTTCTGTTACAACTTTGTGGAATCCTAAGACTGATTTCAGTTCCACTGAACTCAAGCTGTAAAATCCTTCAGGAACCATTTGGATAATGCCCACTCTTCTAATTTGGCTCTTTTTTGAATTAAATTGAATGGCAAAAGAGAGCTATAGTTAGCTACTATTAAAGGTGGGTGCTTGTGTCCATTGTTGGACCAGATCTCCTATCATTTTTCATCACTTGGCCATATTGGCAAGAACTGATGGAAGTTGAGAGTGCTGCAACCACTGGAGGGTCATATCTCACCTACTACTGATCTAAAAAAGCATCTATAAAATGTTATCTTTCTGAGGATCACGGAGCATAGACATGCTAAGGGAGAAAGTTTCTACAGTGAACTGTAGAGATGCTAGACTACATACATAAAGTGGGAATACAACTAAGAGTTTACAAGAGTCCAGAGACTTCAAATCTCATTCATTTCAATGTCAGCATTTCACCCCAACTTATTTAACAACGGGTCTATGCCTCCAGTGGCTTGTGAACTCTCAATAATAGGGCTGGGGAGATTAGACGTCTTGGGTCAAAGCAAAGATGCACAAAAAAGTTTTCAAATTTATCAGCAACTTCCATTCAGGTGGCCCATGGGAGAGAATGAGGAAGAGTTGAGAATATATTTTGCCTTGGAATTCTTTTAAGGATTGGTGAAATACAGACCATGGCCAAATTGCTACAGACTGCCAAAGTCTTGGCTTAAGACCCATGAATATTAGAATATGGTGCTAGTGCAGTATTAATTTCTCCATTAACACATGCTGTAGTCCTTGCCTTATGACCACAATTGAGCCAGATTGCCAAGTGAGAGTTAAGTGGCTTTTGCCCCATTTTATGATCTTTCTTGCCACAGTTGTTAAGTGAATCATTGCAATTGTGTAGTAACATGGTTAAGTGAACTTGGCTTCTCCATTGACTCAGAAGGTTGCAAAAGGTGATCACATGACCCCAGGACACTGCAACCGTCATAAATATGAGTCGATTGTCAAGTGTCTGAATTTTGATCGTATGACCACGGGGATGTTGCAATGGTCGGAAGTGTGAAAAATAGTCATATTTAACTTTTTCGATACCATTGTTAACTTCAAATGACCACTAAATGAACTGTTGTAAGTCGAGAACTACCTATAAGCAAAAGCAGCCTTTTTCAATAACCAAATTCAGAGCTCAGAGTTGCTTATAGCCATGGTAGCACAGTGGTTAGAATGCAGTATTGCAGGTTCTTAACTGCCGACTGCCAGCAGTTCGATCCTTACCAGCTCAAGATTGACTCAGCCTTCCATTCTTCCAAGTTTGGCAAAATGAGGTCCCAGATTGTTGGGAGCAATATGCTGACTCTGAACTGGTTAGAGGGCTGTGAAGCACTGTGAAGCGATATATAAATCTAAGTGCTATTGCTATTTGGTTTTCAAAACACTGCTCAAAAAAAAGGGAAAACATTAGTGAGGTGTGTATAGATTTGCAATTTTAGAAACACTTTATGCTGTTTTCAAGAGCCAGTCTCCAGCATCAAATATCCAGGAAAATACTGTCCCTGACAGAAATGAAGGCATTCCATTGGCAAATAATGTGAAGTTCCCAGCTGGCTTAACATGGATCGCTCCTGATCTAGGTAATGGGAAATATATGTGTGTGAGATTCCATACAAAGTGTGGTTATTACAGTAACAGATGAAGTACTCTTCTTTCCTTGAAACTAAATGCAGGTGCTTCCTCTCCCAGACACAATGCACTTAAAATGGCTAAAATTTTAGAGCTCTCTTTTGAGCCTTATTGGACTATCTTGGAAGTTCTTAAAATTCCCTGAGGTATCCCTCTCCTTTCCTCCCTTTTTTGCTGGTACTATTTCAACACACAAATGAGTGGAGATTGTGTGTGTATGTGGGATTTTAAAAAGAAACAAAAACAAATCCTTGCCTTATTTTATGTAGGTTTGCTGGTGTTGCTGTTGGTACCCATGGTATTCTTTTATCTTCGCCCTCCTGTGGTGTAGAACTAGTGCATGTAACTTTTATATTAAAAAAAAAAAAGGCCTCAGTATTAAGGGATATACAAAATCTTACCAAAATAATATTTTATTGTTGCTCTTGTATAGTGGCTGGCCACTGCAAAGGTTAGGGGAAGGGAAGCTTTTATTGACCCAAACTTCCTGTGCCCTACCATCATGATTTGTGTATTGTCCATTTTACTTTTCGTTTCATTGTTGTATTTTGTTTTTCATTGTTCTTTTTTTTTTAAAATACAAGATTTTTTTCTGTTACACTCTTTTTTTTTTTCTTTGAGTAAGAATGAATGCAGTCCTTTCTTTGCATAGTAAGGATGGTTAGATTTTGCCTTCCTGGAAGGAGGGGAAATAGTTGCCTCCTTTCCAATGACTTGAACAAGATGATCGATGAATAGGACACAGCAGGAGAACTTCCTCCATCAAAGAACCTACATTGTTGTTCAATATTTGTTTCAAACTCCAGGAAGAACATCTTCCAATTTTGAGGGGGAAGAAACTTTAAAGATTAAAAATATTTTATGCCAAGTTGAATTCCATTCAGCCTCTGTTAAGTCAGGAGAAAGATACCGTCAACAAAGTGCTTCCAATGTGCCCAGGCTTCTGTGGGAGCCTATCGTGTGTCCTATAGGAAAATTCAAGGCTTGGCAGCACAAAGAGTTCACTGCTGCATCTGTCCAGGTCTGCCATAGTTTTTTCCCTTCATTTCTTTTTCCTTGTCACCAACATCCATCCATCTTCGGTGGTCCTATCTGACAATGGAGACGGGTTGCTTTGTATTCCATTCATGCTGGAACCAGCACTGCAGTCCATGGCCTAGAGGAGGAAGAAACAACAAAGATAATCAATCTGTTCGTTTTTCATGGTTTTTTGAATAAACTAATTGGCTCCTGCCATTTGACACAGCAGTTTACTCAAAACAAACGTAGTGCCTAACGTAAGAGCTTCAGTTTATCTTAAAATTTTATTAATTTTCAACACCAAGTGACTAAGCCTTATGATACCAGCCTCACAGAAGCCTAATCCAGGCAAACTAAATCCTCCCAATCCCATAACACAATTTTAAGAATTGGCTGGCTTCAGAATCGACTTATAATTCTTCCATGGCAAATGCATTCTGCAGAACCTATCCCAAAGCCCTTCAGATTTCATTCAGATTTACAAAGTCATTTTGTACGCAGCTTGCTCTGCAGCAGGGGTGAAATCTAAAATTTGTTACTACCGGTTCTGTGGACGTGGCTTGGTGAGGGCGTTAATGTGACTGAGTGGGCGTGGCCAACTTTTTTTTTTACACTTTTAAAAGCATTTTTTCTACAAGCTTAAGAGGTTGCAGAAAAAAATGCTTTTAGAAGCCTCTGACGATCAGGCAACTCAGCTGGGATCGCCAGAGGCTTTTAAAGGCATTTTTTCCCCCTACACCCTCTTGGCCAAGGAGTTTGTAGAAAAAATGCTTTTAAAAGCCTCTGGCGATCCCAGCTGAGTTGCCTGATCGTCAGAGGCTTCTAATTGCATTTTTTTCTCCTTTCCTCCTCCAACTAGGTTGTAGAAAAATTGCTTTAAAAAGTAAAAAAAAAAGCCTCTGATAATCGCGCGGCTCAGCTGGGCATGGGGGTGGGGTGGGCGCAGGGATTTTTGCTACCGGTTCTCTGAACCACCCCGCCATTGCTACCGATTGGGCGATCCGGTCCAAACCAGGAGCATTTCACCCCTGCTCTGCAGGCTCAATCTTAATTTTCAGAAGAATTTATTCAATACCTCCTCTTCTGTTTCTTGTTCTTCTTCACTGCTGCTTTCAGCAGCTGGCTGAGATTTGGCAACTGCCCTCCTAGCCTCTTGTTTCTTCTGTGCCAGGTGAGTAATGGCATCACGCATTGATGCTATATCTCCCTGATGGCTCTGGCTGAAAAACAGGCACAGTTGCTGGCTTACCTATAGCATGGGAAGAGGGAAAGATTGCTCATTACCTTGGAAGATCCAATAGTTGCTCCATAAACTGGTCTTTCCCACCACCCCTTGCCTCGTCCAACTCAGCATTTGCTGCATGGTATAAAAAACTGCTTAATAAATCAAAGGCTTTGATCAGCATCCCTTCCTCCAGTGAAGAAAAGCGCGTCTAACTTAAAAGCAGCTTCCTCGAGGTCTCTTTTCTCCATGCCAGAAACGGATGTCTCCCAATTCTTTTAGCATCAGAAACTAAAGACATGTACAGTTATTGGATAAATTTATGACCAGTTTTAACTATTCTTCCGTAGTAATGGATTTATAAATTTGGGCTAAAATTACAGCCACCAAGTAAGCAACATCTAAGAAGTATGTTAGTTAAAAAGGAAACTGCTTCAAACTCTAAAATAAGATGGGTTCACATGTGGTACCAGCCATGGCTTTCTGACAACAATGGCCTAATTCACACTGAATGCTATGCCAAAACAATGGAACTCTTGGTGTTTACATATATATCCAGCTTTGAATCTATAATGTAGCAAATGTCTTTCAGACTACATTTACACAACAGACTACATTTACACCTTAACAAAAGGTTAACCCAAGTTTATTAATTTTTTTTTTTTTAATTTGATTTATATGCCGCCCTTCTCCGGAGACTCAGGGCAGCTTACAATGCGTTAAGCAAATTTAAATGGCTTTGGTTTACATGCCACCTGTACCATTGACTAACTGCATTGGCTGAATTCATGCAACTCACTGAGCCAAAAACTCACTGAATCACTAGGCAAGCAAACTGTACAAAGCTTTGACTAGTTAAAACAACTTTCCAAGTAAAGGCTAATTTTAATCCTTCAGAGCCAAAGGAACATCTGGAGTTGTTTAGCTATTTTTGCAATTAAGGCTTTTTAGCAAGTCTCATCAGCATTAAATATATCTCAAATGATCCAAAAATACCAAAGCTTAAAATAGTTATCCTCCCCTTTTTCATTCTAGCTCATCTCCCCCTTGTCTCCCAGATAATTGTTGGCTCCTAAAGTTAATTCTGGGACAAGCTTTGAGCTTGGCTTTTCTCCAAAGCAATGCCTTCTAGACAAATGAGACAGTTAGAATAAATCATAGTTTACTCAGTAAGCCAAAATGGAACAATTTTTCAAACCATATCAAACCACATTATGATTTACAGCAATGCATGGCCAGTGAGTGGCTGTATATACAATATGCTGTGTGTTGAATAAAATACAATGGCCATACAGAGTTCTTATTGTACATGGTTCCACCACATGAATGCTATTGTCTTTGTATTCTGCTCTAGTCTCAAGAATTTAGCTGTCTTGGCAATAGTTATTTCCTCCATAATACATGCAGCACTGGAGGTCCTCTTATCTACACTGTTGTTAATATATATGTCCAAGAACAATAAGGACCAAAAGACCATTCACATGCCATATTTTCCTGTCAGTTTTCTTTCATATCACAGCTTTGGTCATCAGTATTTCTTCAGACTACACCTCTGGGGAAAAAGCAGTGATCTTTTTGTTTTTTAGGTTTAATGTATACATCAATATCTTCACTTACTGGGCACAGCCTCTTTTGTTTGTAGCTGTTTTTAATGAGGACCTTTCTAGTGCCTCAGCCTTTCCTTCGTCAGTTCAGTTATAAACATCTTTCAGTGTAAATATTTGCAAAGGTTCTACAAGGAGGTGGCTATTACTTTAAAGACTTAATTTTAAATCAGAGAGTCTCCCTTTTTAATATTACTGGATGAAAACTGTCTTAGTTTTTCGAACAAACTTCACACCCTTCTAATCTGTATTCAGTTGTAATCTCCAGAGTGGTTTGAAGCTCACACCTATCAATTTTGGCAATAACTTTCAAGTACAGCTAGGTTGATTTGTGGAAGGGTGGCGGGTGGCAGCTCATTTACAAAGCTTTCTATTTCATTGATTCTGAGTAACCCAAGATAATTAGCTTTAGAGATTATGGTTCAAAAGAGACTAAATATAATTTAAGACTCATAAGATCATATAAACTCTCTCATTCTCCCTCCACATCCTCCAAAACAGTTACAAAAATAAACCATAAATAGTTCACAAGCCACAATAGCTGTATTTGCATAATATCGTGTTTCTCCAAAAAGACAACCAACCTTGAAAAGAAGCCCTATCACATTTTTGAGCGCATGTGATCAAATTAAGCCCCACCCACAAAATTAGCCCTAATTAAGAGCCCGCCCACTCTGGGGTGCAGGGGGTGGGGCGAGGTACACAGGTAAAAAAAACTAGGGTGGGGATGGGGGGGTGGAGCTGCCCTACTTACCAGGCCTCGCACACCCTGACACCTGCCTGCTTCTTCTGCGGCCACTTGCACACATCGTCCTGGCCTCTGTTTTGCCTTTAGATGCCTGCCGGAAGGCATCTGAAGGTGAAACGGAGGCCGTGGCAATGCATGCAAGTGGCGGCAAGCGGCCGCAGAAAAAGTGGGCCAGCAGCGGGCTCCTGCTGGACGGGGCTGTCGGTGCCACCACCGCAAGGTGAGTCAATAATTAGAATCCTCCAAAAAGAAGGCCTAGCCGTCTTTTCGGGGGCCAAAGGAAAATAAGATCCATATTTTTTTTGGAGAAACACGGGTATGTTATGCCAAAAATCTGCTTAGTGGCCTCTCTGTGCATCCACTAAGTATTTGTTAAGAATCTTACACTTCTCTAGGAGACTGTCATCTACAGTGCAAAAACTATGACTTAGCATTTTACAAGCACTTGGCTCATCAACTGGCTTTTTCTTCTTTATAACTGCAATGCTTCCTTATGGAGCAATAGTGCCCCACTGTGGTCAGCTGGTCAGCTGGAGAAGCAAGAACCATTTTAAATCCTAAGCACTAGTTTGGCAAGGCTAGGATACAGGTAGTCCTGGACGTAGGGCTGTAGTGGAGCCTCCTCATTACAGTTGTAAGTTGTGACAGTTATAATTTATTTATTTGTTTGTTTGTTTCCATTTCTATACCGCCCTTCTCCAATAGGACTCAGGGCGGTGAACAACCAGAGTAAAAAACAGAATATACAAAATTTAAAAACAGTTTAAAATGATTAAATATTTTTGGCCGTAATTTAAAAACAACCCAATTTAAAATCAATTTAAAATTTAACTCAAGCCAGCCCAGCTAGTTGAAATAAATAAGTTTTCAGGGCCCGACGAAAAATCCGGAGGTCTGTTATTGTACGTATCTCTGGGGGGAGGTTGTTCCAGAGGGTGGGCGCCGCCACAGAGAAGGCTCTCCCCCTGGGGGTCACCAGCCGACATTGTCTGGCGGACGGCACCCTGAGGAGGCCCACTCTGTGCGAGCGTACTGGCCGGTGGGAGGCTATTGGTGGCAGAAGGCGGTCTCGTAAATACCCCGGCCCTAAGCCATGGAGCGCTTTAAAGGTGGCAATGCAAGTCTTGCAAAAATAATGCAAGTCACCATGTGATGGGACCCATTTTTACTATCTTTTTTGCAGAAGTCACAAAATGAGCCCATTGTTTGCTTGGGCGAACAAGGTTTTTGCTAAAAACTTGAAGTAAATGCCAGTTTTTGGTGAAAATACTGTAAAACATGGTTATGCAACTACAAACTGCTACAAATGACTTTTAGGTGACCATTGGAACCTTGGAACTGGGTTGTAAGTATCTTTGAGGGGTATCTAAGTGACTAGTTATAAGTCAAGGACTGTGCTGTGTGGGATTTAGCATGTTGCACTCATCCAACTAATAACTGTGGCTCAGTCAGCAACTTATACCTTAATGCAACACATGAATCCACACACTTCGTTGTAGAGTCCTTGGTGCTCTCTGAGCTTGGTTGTAATGCTCGTAGGTGTTTCATTACTCAACTAGATAACATCAATGTTAGTAATTGGATACTCAGACTTCTTTATCAAAATGTGCCTAATCATTCATTATAGCACAACCAACACAGTGTTCTCCTATGAAAAGGAGAACACTGCCATGCATCTAAAACTTCTCAGAGAAAAATCAACACACTATTATAACTATGTGACATCACTAGAGCATACAAACTAAAACCCTCCAAAATATCTTAAATGAACCAAAAGATCCAGCAGCCCAAGGAAAAAAAACTTACAGAACAAGACACTATCAAAGAAAGACAGGCAGAAGACTAGCAGAGTGTACCCATGAACATCAAAGACATGATGAAAACTCAGTCTCACAATGCATGGACAGACTCAACCACAATTTCAACTAGGAAACTATGAGCATCCTAGGTCAAGCCAAATCTAAAAATAGTATGAAATTCCTGGAAGTTTGGCAATTAGCCATCAATAACCTGTAATATTTACAGGTCATTCAAAAGAGATAATAAAAAGAAGGAAACATAAAGACTAATACATATCCCCTGCACAACACATAGATAAGCATGGATTAACACCAGACAATCATACAGAAAACAGTACCCTCATCAAGGAACTACCAAGAAAACCACACCATCACCAACATTGGCAGGACAACCTACTGCCTATAAACAGGGAGCAAACCCCATAATCACTAGCACCAATATTATCTAGTTGAGTAATGAACTGTCAGTGAGCAAACCAAGGTCAGAGAGCACCAAAGACTCCGCCACAGTTCAACAGAATATGCTCTGTTTAGTTGGGATAAAGTTGGATGCTGCTAGGCAATTGATGAAAGCTCAGATGGATTAATTATTTCACAGTAATTTCACACAGATGTTTATTAGCAACCCTGTTACATCGCACAGGCCATAATAAAATAAGCATCTTGTTGTTGATTCCAGGTACGTAAGTGTTTAAAAATAACCAAGGCTGTCATATTCTGTCACCATCACCTTAACTCCAACATGTACTTTGCTGAAACTGCAAAGCTGTGCAAGCACTGTTAAAAGCACAGGTTCTCTAAGGAGGTACTGACAGGCACAGCAAGTCCTCCCCTTCTCCCAAGTACCTTTTCAACAACAAGCAGCACAATCTTACTTAAAACATTTCCTGGAGCAAAAGGGAGGCACGGGAGAAAGGCACAAGTATAACTTTTCTTCCCGGCAAATGCAGGCTACATTTTGTTCAGTTTTGCAAGGAACAATATTCAGTTGCAGTAAAGTTGCAGTTTGGGCAAACCTCCTCACCTGTTGAAGACTTAAAAAAGGAATACAGTGATACAAGTAGTCCTCGAGTTACAACCACAACTTAGCCCAAAATGTATCGCCCCATGTTACGACTTGCCAGAGTTGTTAAGTTAGTCACATGGTTGTTAAGTGAATCTGGATTCCCCATTGATTTTGCTTGTCCGAAGGTCACAAAGGCTGATCACATGATCCTGTGACACTGCAGCTGTCATAAATAAGAACCACTTGCCAAGCATCTGAATTTTGATCATGTGATCATGGGGGATACAGCAATGGTTGTAAATGTGAAAAACGGTCATAAATCACATTTTCCAGTGCCGTTGTAACTTTGAACAGTCACTAAATGAACTGTTGTAAGCCGAGGATGACTGATTGACTGACTGACTTGACTGACTGACTGACTGACTGACTGACTGACTGACTGTCTGTCTCTGTCTGTCTGTCTGTCTGTCTGTCTGTCTGTCTGTCTGTCTGTCTATCTATCTATCTATCTATCTATCTATCTATCTATCTATCTGTAAGCCAACTTGCAAGGAGTTTTATGAAGCATCTCAACAGGTGCATCAATTAATGTTGGAAAAAGCTCTTGATCTGTCTGAAAGCTTTCAAAGACAGAATGACTGAGAAATTATCTATGTGTGGGGCCATTAAATCCCCACATAACTTCTCTAACTGCACATTACCCAAGAAAAGCATAGACAGTCAGAGGGGAGGAGAGGAAAAACAGCACTTTTCTTTCCGTTGCAGAGTAACAAACGAATACCTGAGCCAAGCTTCCATCTTCTATTATAGTGTTAAATTCATTGTTCATCAATTCAGCAAGGAAGTCCTCTATCTCCTCTGGTTCAAGGTCAGCTGTAGAGAGATTGGACACAGAGTCAAATAACAGAATTGCACAGGGATTTTCAAAGATGACTAGGGTTAAACAGACTACTGGCTATTGTTCCATCCAATGTAACCCTCCAAGTCTCCATGAAGAAAGCATACAAGCCAGTTCCAGGCCTTTTAATTGTACTCATTAAGCTTTACTAACTTGCTAAAATAAGGAACATACAATAGGGTTTCTGATCCTAGAGCCTCTAGCAATGTTGATCGGGGATACTAGGTGGTCATTATTATCCTTAAAGTGATAGCCCAGTTCATGCTTTTGAAACTATAATAAATTTGAAGAGCTATCTCAGTTTTTAAATGTCACATTTTAGAAGGTTCATCATGGCAGGGAGGATTCTAACTCCCAAGGGCTTCATATAAAATTCAAGACCTGCCATTCTGTGTCATACATAAGACAAGTTTCAGGTTCAGGCTCTTCATCTAGCAATGAACGACTAAAAGATCAGAATATTCTACCATCGTAATTCCAGGTACGTCATGGGCCATCTACCATTCAGGCAACAGGACAGAATCTCACCATTGCTTTCAAAGTATTGCTCCACAGCCCCCACCATCCATTCAGCTTTCTCTTGGCTATGTGCCCCTCCAAAGCCATTTTCAACTGCTATCTGCAATTGGAAAAAGACAAGGAAATGTTCATAAACAGCAACTGGCCACTGGCGCAACAAAGGGTTGCTTGGGGTGATAATTGGCACGAATAAATAGCAGCACAGAATTATCTAGCCAGTTCTAACAGTCCTTGGCTGAGCTCTAATAACAAAGCTAATTTGTCCTCCATGTTGCTTGTTGGAATCGAATTAGGGAAAAGCCACATTTTTCCTGCAATGTGGGTTTCAATAAAAGTCTATTGGCATTACCAAAAGACACATATCCTTGGGATAATCTTGAAGCATTCTTTTTCTTTTTGTAAATATAAGATTAAGTAAATTCATATAAACATGTGTCGTTTGCTCGACAGCTAAACTAACAATACAAGGCAAGGAGCATAACTGATCTTTTATTACATTTATTCAGATTTTTACCTTCTATATATACTTTCCTTTTGGTCATGGTCAGACTGACTTTATTAAATCATTATAGTTTTCAATTCTGTTACGTATGAGACGTGGCTTCAAATGCTTTCTAAATTATTTTCTCAAGTAGAACATGCTAGCTAACTGCCTTTCCTCACTAGTTAGCTGCACACAAGCTGTGTCCTTTACTACAGAGCTTACCTCCTTTGCCAATAGTTTCAGAATAACAGAAAATTACCATATAAGGAGTATACTTGTACAGCATAGTAACACATGTCCAGAATGGGGAAATCTAAACAGTGAAAAGCATCTGAGTAGGAGTTGTACCTTGAAGTTGAAAGTTGGTATTTGGTAATTGGTATTATTAGTTTACATAATAATATAATATGCATTTGTTTACTGAAATGCTTTTGTTCTTGACCAGACTGGAACAAGGTTTACATAACTATGGTGAACCAAATTTATTGGTGGAAAGTGGTACAATTTCTTCTAAGTTCATTCCCTGGATAAATAATTTAACATCTTACTGTCATCATCTCAACAAAAAAGTTACTTCCTCTCTCCTAGTTTCTGTCCAGACAACATATTTTATATGCTGTATTTGTATGGGAGGTAATTATATTCTATCTCTATATTCTAACTGAGCAAATGCTCAGTTGGTTATGAAGAATTAAATATTTATCATCCTGTTATATGAACAGACTGGTTAGGTTTGCATGCCATAATGTATTATTAGATAGCCAACCCATAGTTTAGCCTATCACAATGGGTTCCTTTCAAATCCTGCTGTGCTGCCTCAATGTAGCAGGCTGGGGTGAGGTGGGTTGTTGTTCTTGGAAGGAATGAGGGAAGGACACTGGGGGTGTCTTTCAAGAATACAAAGCTCATCCTAGCTGCTCAGCTAAAATAGGCAGGTGCCTGTCTACACTGGGCAGCAACAATATATAGGATGATCACTTTAATGACAAGGCCAAAGGCATCATTTTACACTGCGCAGAAAAAGGCAACGGTAAACTACAGGTAGTCCTTGACTTACAACCATTTGTTCAATTACACATTTGTTTGAATTTGAAACAGAACTGAAAAAAGTGACTTATGATCAATTCTCACACCTATGACCATTACAGCATCCCCATGGTCACGTGATCATAATTCGGATGTTTGACAACTGGCATGTATTTATGATGATTGCACTGTTCCAGGGTCATGTGATCACCATGGCAAACTTCCCCAAGGTTGTGGTCAAACGTGAAGGACTACCCACACTCCTGCATTTTACCTAGAAAACCATATGGCTATGACACCCTAGTGCATAATTGACCTTACAGTACCTGAAGATGGCTCCCTGGTGTCAAATGGCACTCAACACACTATTGAGGAAAAGCTGAACATCCTTTGGAGTACTAATGGTATTTATGAAGTGGCTAGATTAAAACTTCTAGGATGACTAATTCTGATATTGCCATGCAAGGAAAAAAAATCTGAAGCTGAAAATCAGAATTATGGTGGGAGCATGGAAATTAAGAAGCATGAATGTGGGAAGGCTCAACACAGTAAAAACTGAATCAATTACACACAGACATATTTGGTATCAGCATCTTGAAATGGACTGGAATTGGACACTTTTAGGCCAACGATCAATTTCCTACTCAGGAAACAGAAGCAGAGACTTAACAGAGTGTACAGCTGTCACACAATATTCTTAATTTCCTATATTAGCAAAATAGCTTTTAGGAACATTGATGCTGAACAGACTTATACACAGGACAGGAGATGCCAGATGGTTTTAGAAAAGATGAGGAGCAAGAACCATTATTGCTGCTGCACAGAAAGCAAACTAGCAAAAAGGTCAGTATGTGCTCCATTGATTATAGAGAAGCCTTCAGTTATGTTGATCATGTCAAGCTGAGAAATGTGCTTAGAAAAATGGGAATCTGAAAACACCTTCATCTCCTCATACAAAACCTATGCAAGATCGGGAAGTCTCAGTGTGAAGCTAAACAAACTGATTCCAGGCTGACAAGGTGGGAGATAACTCTTCTCTTACCTATTCGACCTATGTGCAGATTATACAGTCAAGGAAGACACTGGAAGAAGATGAGCATGGCTTTGAAAATGGAGGAAGAAACATCAAATGCCTAGTGATGCTACTCTGACAGCTGAAAATGCAAAACATCTGCAAGCTGTAGTAATGAAAATCAAAAAACAATGGTTGCCACATAATGGTTGTCTAGGAGCCCTAATATACTGCCTTAATAGTATTTGTATCCCACCTTTACTGTTTTTACATATAACTCAAGTTGAGGAACATATCCAACACACTTTCCTCCTACAATTTCCCCACAAGTATGTCAGAAATAAGCAGGGAGGAAAAAGAAAGGCACTGATGTAGTGATTAAAGCACCAAACTAGAAACTGAGTTGTGTCCTGCTTTTGGCATGAAGCCCAGTTGGGTAACTATGGCCCTAGGAAGAAGCCAATGGCATATCACTTCTGAACATCTTGCCAAGAAAACTGCAGGGGACTTTTCAAAGCAGTCTGCAAGAATCAGCATTGATTTAAAGGCCCGCACAATAAAAGTGGGAGGATCTAGATACGCAAGACAAGGATAACACAATTCCAATGGACATGTTTATTCAGGATTAAACTAGACCAAACTGCTTAGGTTCATATGACACTGTAAAACATAAACTAACTTACACATATGGGAGTTTCACACAACATATTAGGCTAAAATTCTATCAGCTGCTTTGTGACTCAGATGCTGTGGGTACATAACACATGCCAACATATCTCTTTTGCAGTAAAAGCTCTAAAGAAAAATGCATATGGATGTTATTTTCAGTTCCATAAATAAACAAAAAGGAAATTAAATTATCAGCAGCAAGGTAGATGGATTGAGTTACAATGGCCATGTGTGCATCACTGGGAGACCTGAAAAAAACAAGTTATCATGAAGAAAATAGGAGATTGCAAGGAGTCAAAGTTGCAAGGAGTCAAAAACGACTTGGTGCCATATAATCAATGAATAAATTAAGCTTGATTTCTGGAAACAGCCTTAGTTTTTAGCAACCATAGAAAAGATCTGGTTCTCCGTGCGCGATTTCACTAAATAAGCACCAATCTAAAAGCAACCTCATCTACCAATTCATTTATACACATTCACACCAACGAAATCCATTTGAACAACTTCATATCTCAACGTAAGGGGCAGTGTTTATACAACACGGTAACCTATGATTTTTAAAATACCACCATTGGGGACTACTATATCCGGGGTGCAAAAATCCCGACAATCACTAAGCGGCAGTCAAGGCATAAAGGTTTCTCTATTTTTCTGCCGCCCTGTGGCCGTCGGCGTTTTATAGGTAGAAACAGTAGCCTACCACAGCTGACTGCCAATGCATAATCCACTAAAACAAAAACTAAGAAATCACAATTGCCTTTTGTTTTGCTTGCCAAATCGGGGTGAGGCTGAGAAGTCGCCCCTCCAAACAAGTTGTTCTCTACCTTTCCCAATACTATACTCACTGCTCCCTTCCTGTAACTGCAAGCTCAAAAATAGTGTTTATTATGTATTCGACAGCTCTTCCACCGTCCACTCACCCATCCACCCACCCACCCACGCACGCCTTTTCTCGTTACCGGGAAAGGCTCCTAACCTGCAACACGGCCCAGCCGTCCAACACCGCTTGCACGCCCTGCCTGAAAAGGCCACGTGCCTCCTCCTTCGGCGTCGCCATGTCAGCGGCAGGCAGCAGGAAGTCAATCCCGGAATGATCGATCAACTCGTCTGGAAGAGAAAAGTAGACCTAAGTAAACGCCTGCAGAGTCAGCCAGAGCTTCGGGGGTTTCTCCTCTTCATCAAGCGACACCGATCGAACACTTCGAATGTTGCCTTTCTACCTGGCGGTTTATACATAATATAACGTTCTATATTTCATTAGGGATTTCAATGAGCTCAAGTGCCAAATTCTCTCTCCTGAAATACTCATCCAATGTCCAATAGTTGAAACTGAAGAAGAGTTTTAAAATTCGTTTGAAGATTAACAGAGTTGGAAGGGACCTCTTAGGTCATCTAGTCCAACCCACCCAACCCCGCCCAAGCAGGAGACCCTGCCTACACCATTTATGACAAATGGCAGTCCAGTCTCTTCTGGAAAGCCTCCAGTGATGAAGCTCCCACAACTTCTGAAGGCAACTTCTGTTCCATTGGTTGATTGTTCTCACATATTTGCCTACAGTACTGTAGTTGGATCAGGGACTGAAATCTTGTGGATAGTCATGTTGCTTAGCCTGAAAGCTTGTGAGCGAATGGCTTCAGAAACTCAGAAGCACACTGGATTAAGGAATTAAATGGAAGTTACGTCCCTAGAGAGAGTAAGAATCATTTATGTGTTTTTGCACATAAAATGTGGTTGCCCAGTTTGTGGCTATGTTAATGTGTTGTGCGGCTATGCAGTTACATGGGTATACTTAGGCAGCTGGGTGAATTTAAAAAAAAAACTAGTTCAGTTGTAGTTAACAATGGGTTAGCTTAGCATGCTATGCAAACTTAGCCAGATTTCACTTTATTGAATAATAGTTAAACTTATTCCTGAACAAACATAAATACACGTTTTGACTTTTTCCCTTAATGATTGCATTTGCAAAGTACATCTAACCACATGCTACATTTTAGTCTAAAATGTTGTGCCTATCCTTCTAGTTAGGTTATGGAATCACTGCAAGCAATTCCATACAGGTATTAAGCATACCCAGACAATTGGGTTTAGTTGACCAAGCACATCATAATATCACAGTAGATAAAACATATAACCTTGAAAGACATAACTTAGGAACTATTTTGTAACACATTTTACTATGCTGCCCTGAGTCTTCGTAGAGGGGCGGCATATAAATTGAATTAATTAAATTTAATTTAATTAAATAAATTGAATTAATTAAATGTTGAAAATGAAGACAATTGCATTAAAATGTTAATGAGAATGATAATACTTTTAAAACTATCAGTACAGGGATCAGTAATAAAGTTTGTGAAAGGTTTGTTCCAGATAAATTAGAATCTACTGTATTTAATGATGGATTATAACTCCCATTATATCTCCATAACATGGAGAGTACTAAAATAATGAACGTCTGCATCAACTAATTAAATTGTAACTATTGCCTTCCAGATATCCTACAATACATTCCTATCATACTGGCAAAGGATAATGGGAACTAGACTACAAGAAATCAGAAGAGAATGGAATATTGAAGATCTGTACTATAGGTAGTCTGTTGGGTTCAAAGAAGACACATTGTTGTGCACTGCACAACAATGCATCTGTGGACATGGATGTGGCTCTGCAATCCCAGTCTGGAAGTGCAGAGTCTAGCACATTGAGGGCACTGGAAGTCCATTGTTGTAATAACTCTGGGTGTTATACTGTGACACTGCTCACAGTTTTCTATCAGTTTTTGGCTGTGCCTGTCTTCAAAGCCAGTGGAGGCTTCATAGCATGACTTGCCCCTGGTTTCTGTCAGCAGCCACAGCTTCTAGTTCCTTTGGCTAGATGTCATAGTGATGTAGGATTTCCTTCACTGTATCTTTGTAGCAGTAGCATGGATGACCTCGAGGGCTCTTCCCAATCTCCAGTAGAGAGCAATTGAATAGGCATATGATAGTCATCCATTCTGATGATGATGATGATGATGATGATGATGATGATGATGATGATAATAATAATAATAATAATAATAATAATAATAATAATAATTTTATTGTCATTGTACATGTATACACAGTATACCAATACAACAAAATTCACTTAACACCCAAAGACCAGGTCCAACACACATAACAATCCCCAAACACACTCCCACCCACTACAATTCCCCACCCCTAAACCACCCAAACATCCATACAACAGACCAAGTAATGCTGTCCAACAGCTCACTGATAGTGGCCCTTTAGTTCATTGTTGAGTGCAATTATAGCTCTGGGATAAAAACTATTCAGAAAACATGGTCCGAGTTTTAATTGTTCTGTATCTTCTGCCAGAAGGCAACAGTCCAAAAAGATTGTAAGCAGAATGTTTATGCAATCTGAGAATGTTATGCAACTTTCTCAAACACGAGATTCGAAGATGTCGTCCAGGGCTGGTAGCTGGAGCCCGATGATATTCTGGCCAGTTTTAATGATTCTCTGTAGAGCTTTTTTGTCCACTACAGAGCTGCTCCCCTACCATGCAAGAATGCCATATGTCAGGACACTCACAATGGTGCTGCAATAGTAGGACAGAAGTAGATGCTGAGATAGATTTATCTTCCTGAGCATTCTCAAGAAGTACAGTCTCTTCTGTGCCTTCTTCACAAGAATGTTAGAATTCATAGTCCATGAGAAGTCCTTCGAGATATAAATGCCCATAAATTTAAAACTACCCACCCTCTCCACCTCCTCACCATTTATGTACAATGGTAAATGTACATCTCTCTTCCTCCTGAAGTCAATTATAAGTTCTTTAGCTTTTGTGGTGTTAAGTGTGAGATTATTTTCATTACACCACAATGTCAGCCCTTGTACTTCCTTCCTGTAAGCAGACTCATGTCCCACCCTCCACATCTGGGTCTTTATATTTATATTTATTTTATTTATTTATTTTATTTTATTTTTGAATTTGTATACCGCCCTTCTCCCTAAGGACTCAGGGCGGTGTACAGCCACATAAAAACATATAGTACAAATATTAAAATACCATTAAAAGATATATATAAATTTGGCCCCATAATTAAAAACAATAACAAACCAATTAAAACATTTAAAAAGTGTTAGGCCAGCCCTGCTTGCTGGAAAAAGAAAGTTTTAAGGGCACGGTGGAAGGCACCGAGGTCTTGGATTCTCCTTATCTCAGGGGGCAGCTGATTCCAGAGGGTAGGTGCCCCCACAGAGAAGGCCCTCCCCCTGGGGGTCACCAGCCTGCATTGTTGTTGACAACAGAGTCCAGAACTCATATCCATATAGGGGAGAAGGGATAATTCCAGCTCTGTAGATTTTCAGCTTTATGGAGTTAGGGATGGCTGTGTTGACTGAACACTCTACTGAAGTACACAGCTACTTGAGATGATGCTTCCCAAGTATTTGAAAGGTAAACACTTTCAAATTTGTCAGTTGGATGTTGTCAAGAGTGATTTTTGGTTCTGTGGGGTTGTTATATGGCATGGGCTAGTAAAGAACTTCAGTCTTGTTAGGCTTATAATCAGGCTGAAGTGCATAGCAGTGCCTGAGAATTAGTTAAGTGTCAACTGTAGATAATTATCTTTTGGTTTCAGAAGTGCACTCATCATCAAAGAGAGTTTCTTGAATGATTGTATGGAGGCACTTCATCCATGCATTCAAGTGGTGAAGGTCAGAGTTGTCCAATCAGTATCTACTGTAGTAAACATTCCCTCCTTTAGACTCTGGACAGCATGTGGCAATAAACAAGTAAAGAACAGATTTAACAAGACTGGGGCTAGCACACAGCCCTGCTTTACCCCATTAGAAATGGCAAATGCAGCTGACATATCACCATTATAAAAGACTGTTCTGTCATTCAGTTGTGGAATAATTAACTTCATGAATGAATTTCCATGGTATTCATGTCTCAAGATGGTCAAAAGAGCCTCCTGGTTTAAACTGTCAGATATCTTTGTTCATTGCTTCTATATTAATATATTTGATCCCATTACACTCAATTATTTGGATTCATATAATATGCTGAAACATAGGCTACTGGCTCCCATTTCAGCCAAGTGTTATACAAATCTATTACCTGCTTGATGTGTGGTTAGTTTACAGTTCAAAAAAGGGGATGAATTTAATAAATTATGATTGTTTAACCACTGAGTTAACTACTATGGGGGGAGGGCAAAAATCCAGACATTAACTACAACTCTGCTTCTAGATTTATACATACATACATACATACATACATACATACCTATAAAACAGATATCAGAGTGTAATTTAAACTGATCATTCCACGCTTTGGAGTAAGCTCCACTGAATTTTATAGGATTAATTCTAATTGAACATGTATATGATTACTCTGTACATTTAAGAGGAAAAAAGTCCTATATGAATTCCTCAAGGATAGGAGGATGCCTTCCAGTTGACCTGGACTATAATTATTAGTGCATTCCAAATCACTATGGCAACTGGAAATTAGTGGAGTTGTGTCCAATATATAGGGAGTGAGCCAGGTTATGAAAGGCTGAATAGAGCTTTGCAGATGGAAGCATATATTTTCTTCCTAGCTTTTCTTGCAAGTGCGGGTTCTGCTTTTTTCTGATCAAGTGTTGATCCATTTGGTTGCGACAGGAATTGACCAACCAGCTTGTTGACTGAGCCTGATATCCTGGGCTAAGAGAATGACTGGCTCAAAGTTGCCCAGCCAGCTTTCATGCCTAAAGTGGGACTAGAACTTGCTATCTCCTAGATGTTTTAACCACTAGACTAAACCCACTCTTAGATGGAAAGATAAAGGTCCGTTTTAAATTTTCTGCTGACATTAATTGGATTGGTCATAAATATGATAACATCATATACTTAATCATATACATACTGTATATGTGGACATTTCCACACTGCCACTATGATAATATGAAAGCCTGTCATTGTTAGAGATACAGGCAGTAGTAAGATTCAAATAATTTAAGAACCGGTTCTCTGCCCTAATGATTTCTTCCAACAACCAGTTTGCCAAACTGTTCAGAAAGTTAACAATCAGTTCTCCCGAAGTGGTGCGAATTGGCTGAAT